TGCATGTCCATGACAATTTGTTTCAAAATCTGGTCAAGGATGGCTGATTGACAGCCATCTGACTTTTTGGCCTTACTACTATATTTCCACAATTTATGTACCATTTTCATTCGTATTTGGCACATCATACATATCAGTGTGTTTCATAATCAGATCAAAGATGGCTGAATAACAGCTGTTTTTTCTTTGGCCATATTACTATGACACGAAACAGGTGTTTTGATGTAAATAAACAATCTGTTGTATACGCCACTTGGAACTCAAGTTTCAAGGACACGCTCTCGACAACCCCTCCGCTTTAATATGACGAGCACAAAGAGAACTTAACGGGGACTGTGTTATTTTCAATGACTTGTTTTTGACGTACTGTAGAATACTTTATTTTCGCTTGGAATTTATTTTCGCTATTTTCACTGAAGGGATGATTCTGTGAAAATACAATCCAGCGAATATACTTTTTTGCCTATATTTCACATTAAACTCATCAAAAATCAGCGAAAATAAATTCCATACAAAACGCCCAAAAAGCCTTTTCAGCGAAAATTAATTCCAGCGAAAATAAAGTATTCCACAGTATTCATGTTCTTAGCAAATGAAAATATAACAAGAAAGAAATTTGAAATGTGGAGGTTGTTTTGTGTATTGATTATTGGAGCATTTAAAATTAATAGACCATTTTCTGTTCACTGCGAGATCCTGTACATGTGTGAAATTGAATTGTAAATATTGTAAACAGGACAAACAGCATTCGGAGTTGTGTCAAAACATTGTGTAGGATTTGACAAAAATATTGTTGGGGTATTTCCTCTTCTAATAATGTGCCATACGCATTTGGTGATGGTCAAATTTGTAAAAGTATCTCAACACAATATTCCTCTCTTAACGATTGACTTTGAGCAATAAAAATTAGATCATTAAACTTTTGCAGCAAATGCTCAATCTGAGCCTTTGGTGCATCATGCAAGATTTTGCAATAAATGGAAAATGACATGTTACTGCATATGAGCAATTATTGATAAATTATGATTCAAGGAAAAAAAAAATGCCCACATAATTGCTGCTGAGAACAAAACCAGCATCACATTGAGATGTCCAGTATTCAATCTAATCCGTATTTGCTAAAAACTTGCTCAGTAACCATGCTAAGTTGCATGCAAAACTCCAATAAAAAAAAGCAATTTTTCACAGGTTAACACAACAAAATTAACGTTCACAGTGCTATTGACAGTACATGCTAAATATGTATTGTTCTGCCATGGATTATTATGGGATATCCAAACAAATGAATATGTAGTCAGTCTACATACTTATTAGACAGAAGCATAAATATACTAATCAGTATGTGGACAAAATGGAGAATTTTAAGAAGATGTTAAAAATCTGAGTTCCTTACACATTTTTTTAGTTAAAAATATTTGCTTCTGCATGGCTCTTTCCATACATGACAGTACAAAGAGATGTCAAATTCTTTAAATACATGTTTTTTCCTTGGAGAATATAGCCAAGATGCTCACTGCCAAATTTGCTTAGAATTACCAGTGAACCTTTCTTAGATTAAAAAAGTCTACATACAACATTGGATCATATCTTTAGTTCATCTACATGTTTCAAATATAAAATATTACTAAACATTTGCAAAAAATATTATAATTTACTTTTCTATAAAAAGTGTATCTGCACTCGTTCCAACCTTTAAATTTATATGGGGTAAACTACTTCACCATCATTGAGTTAAGTTTATTGATATCACATTCAAACACCTTCTTTGTTTACATTGACTGCAAAAGCATCGTGTGATAAAAATACAATCCCATCACTGGATGCAAATGTTTAAACAGCACAAACCTTTTTTTTAATTGTCATTTTTTGCTGTAACATATTACCACAAAATTAATACTACATTTTGTACAAATAACCTCATAATATGAAACCTGTTTACATATATTATCTTTTGTTCAGGTAATGATGATGATCTTGAATACTATGTACGTGAATGCGGCGATATTCTGGGAGTGTCAACAAAGCTGCCATCTGATAGCAGAGATGCCAAGCATATATTAGAATATATATTTGCACAAGTTGTTGAATTCAAAAAATTGAATCAGGTGAGCACGCTTTAACTTCACAATAATCGGTTTACTATTCCATGGCAACCACTGTGTATTTCTTCCATACTTCATTGATATACTTCAGGATTTAAAATACTGTGAGAAACTGCAACAGTGTATTGGCTTTCATGCAGTAATGACTATCTACCACCCAGAATTACATACAATTTAGATAAATAAGAAAGGAAGAATAATTCTCGTACTGGATTTGCGAATCATAATGTTGATCATCTTATTAGCCAGGAATTTGCAACTGCTAGTCCAAAACAATTCAACTTCATGAAAAATGTAGATGGTTTTAGATAGATTTTGGTAAAATTATAACAGAACAATAAGAAAAAAACAAAAATAGGAAAAAGTTGCCAGTCCAAAATCAAAGTTGCCAGTTCGTTTGGTGGGTGGACTGGTGCCTGGCTTACACCCTGAGTGTCACTGTCAAGTCTAGAGGCAAAGAAAACACCAAGTATTTTGTGGATCATCTTGTTAACTGACAGTCCAAATAATTCTCAGAATCACTGCCAGTGTATATTTGATATTATTTCAGCACTCTGTGTGTTTTCTTTGACAGGATCAAGATTTGGATCTGAATGAAGGAGCTGACGGCTACCAATAAATAACTATTTGTTCTATCAGACTGTACACACCATATTGTAAATACCAAGTCAAATATCAGGGACACATCAGTCTGACAGATTCCACTCCTACCACTAGTGATAAATGCAGATACATGTAATACTTTTCAATTCTTGCATATATTTTTTTCCATCTCCACCCATAGAGCTTAATTTATGTACACAAATTTGTGAGTGATGATGAAAGTTCATTGTAACTCTATCTGTCATCCAAGGTATTTGTTGTTTTCTACTCAAGATCAACTTGCCCACATTTGAAGCAATAGCAAACTAGAAATGCTCATTTGAGTGAAACTTAATGTATACAGCTATGTACTCTTCATGGGCTGAGTTCTGTTGTGTTGATCATTGAACATATCTATGTGCGCATTTGTTCCTATCTCTTTACTATTGAGCCTCTGCAAATGCTACAACACAAAATCATGATGGGTCTTGTGTAGAGTTGTGTATATCTGGTCCTGTTATTTAACACTGATGGCCTTTGTAGCAAACATTTTTAACATTTTTCTTCTAATTCCTGCTATTTTTTTGGCATTCATGTTTAATATTTCTGAATCTCCAGTAATGCAGATTTCCCTGAAAAGTGGGATAGATATCATACAAGATCAAACTGATTGAATGTTTTTGCATTTCAGTAAGCCTAGAAACATCCAATAGTTAAATAGTAATTATTCACTTCATGTACTGTGAATGCTTGAACATCTATAGTAGCAAAAACAGTAGCAAGACGAATAGATCATTGTGACCTCAATTAACCAGAAATGTTTGTTTTGCTTCAGTTTCTGCGATTTATTCAGATCATTTTGACGTTATTATATTGATTATTCCATTCACGCTCCATAGACAGTCTCTATACGGCTCCTACTTGAGCCTACTTTTATGAGTTTGGCAGGGTTTCAATGGCTATTTATCAAATTTGCAGAGTTTTGGCTTAAAGTAATATCTGTATGTAAAATATGAATAAATATACCCGGTAATACAAAACTATGAGTACCTATAGCATATGTGAAAAAACACATAATCCTTTGAATTGAATTGAATTGAATTGAATTGAAGTGTAAAATGTCACATACGTCTGATTCTTGACAAAAAGGTAGAAATGAGCTGAGGCTTGGAGTTTGGATTTTAGTCTGACATTTTCTAGAAGCCTGACAACTTCTTGTTGTTTAAAAAGCATTCATCTAAATTTCATACATATACAGATCAACAAATTTGCATTAGCTTTTTCTAAATCCTGAAGTTCTATGTGTTGTATTTAAGCAAATTACAATAACAATATTCACAGAATTCTTGTATTTATGTAATCAGGTATTGTACAAAAACTGAAGTACTTCTGAAAGAGCTTGGTCACATACAATGATAGCTACAAAATTACCTTGATTGCATACTTTTTAAATTAAACACCCGTCCATGTTGTATATACATATATTCATATTTTAAGACTTAAGTTTAATTGTATACCTTTATTCTATTACTGCTGTTTTGTTTTTTTCAAATCAGAACCTCAATTATCTAAGCTTGTGTGCAGAATTAAAATTGTGAATACAATACAACTTTCCTCTAGCAACAAAGTGCCCATGTCATAAATTGGCAAAAAGGAAGAACGTTCACAGGGTTGATATTGGGCCAAAAAAATAAAAATTGTTTTGTTGCCCTCAGCGACTGATCGAAAAATATGGAATATCGGGTCGCGTTTTTTTTTTAAATAGGCCCTAATATTAAAAATTCACCATTTAATTTAAGCAGTAAAAACGTGTTTCCTCTAAAAATCAACGATCCCGTATCGTTGTTTGATCCCCAGGGTTCCTGGGGGGTTAAGTGGCGACTTTTAACCTCGTTTTCATCTGTATTTAAATACAAAAAGACTGAAAGAAACACTTTGATTTTTGTGTTTAATATCTAGCATGCGTTTGATTGATTCCCATATACCTCGGGTATTTACGATACCCTTAGTTTTCACGAGTTTAAAAAAAAAAAAAGTTTGACCGACCAACCCAATGGTTAAATTTTCCGACTTGAGGGCAACATAAGTTGTTGTTTTTTTGGCCTTATTTTGGTCTGTATACACAGCAATATCAAATAATGTTTTGAGATATTTACAACCAATGTGTGAATGTCTAATAGTCCAATAACAATTGTCGCTAACTAATCATCACTACTGTTTGACCTGTTGTTTTATTAAGCAGGGGCACATACACGTATATTTAAATAACAGCAGGAAACAGTACTATTACTTTATTTTCCGGTACGAATGACGGGTTCTTATCACCCAGCCACTGCGTGCACACTTGCATACATACAGACCTATGGGAAAGCTGTATTGATGGCTTACATAAATAATTTCATTATGCAAAAATGAATCTCTAACTTGAACTTGGAGGTGGGTAGTATGCACACAGATTTGGATAATACAGGTTCAAATATAAAGCTCATACCAATTCAATTAATTGTATTTTGTGTATATTTTGTACAAGATTCTTTAACCATGTACATTTCCAGTAATACATCATCCATGTCCAATGAACAGGATAATACTTTTACTCCTATTCAACTGACAAGTATTTTGTACTGTAAAATTTGCACATGGACTGGTTGTCAAATGTAAATAAATGAAATGTTGACTTCCTGACTGCTTTCTTTGGTTTAGTGCATTCATACATCTGGTATCAATACAGGTTTGCTCTTAGCAATTTTTTCATTCATTGGTATCTTTCTGAACATTGTCCACTTTAAAGGACAGTGGTCGTAACACAGTGCATGTTCGAATATCATGTAAATGAACCATATATTTTACGTTTGTTGAATACGCCGCTATGATCCCATATCTACCTGATGTGGCACAATGACTCTTGCTCTTTAACACTTTGAATACCAACGTACATTTTTCAAAAATGTTTAAAAAGAGGAGGCAACGGTAAATGTCCGTTTGGTCCATAATTATCAAATGACATAAAAACACCAAATTCAAATGTTCGCGTTTTGGCTGGAAATTTTGATGATTTAGTATAGTGATAGTTCATCAAATTTAGTTTGATGGTAGTTGTAGTAAAATAATCGTCAAAATCACAAATTGTCTACCGATATAATGCAAAAAGTATCCATGATAAATGTGCAGTTCATTAATTGCCAGCAAGGGTACATGTATTTTGTCAACTACAAACAAACAAGCAAGTAGCTATAACTATGAAATGTCTCCGCTGCCACTTACACCCACTTTGTCTGTTCTGTGTTCATATAATCACATGATCTGATTTTTTAGCGTACAATTTTTTAGTTTAGACCCCATTTTAATCGAGTTATAATTTAATTTCCGGAAGGGGTGAGTTTCCTAAAACTGGGTAGAGGGGTGCCACTGAGCATTCCAAAGTGCGAGCATTTTTATTCCCAGGAATTGAAAAAATCCATACTCTTATTTATGGCGCAGTACAATTTTAGACATTAAGAGCTTTATGCCCTCTATTTTTCGGTGTATATTTGCGTAGACTACATGAAAGACGTGCCTGTGCGTAATTGAAAGATTTTGATTCTTATTCAAAAACAGCTATCCTTGTCAGCAACAATCTGCCAGATTTTTATACCTATTTGAACAGTAAATAAGACCCCATATATATACCTAGAGTCTTGAAAAACTGGGACATAGATCCAGCGTGACATATAGAGGGCACTTTTTATCTCCGCAAGTCAAATTTTAATCAGTGTAATGCAGCTGGATATCAATTGAATATCAATTAAAAGTCCAACATGGAGGGCTTTTTTAACATCTTGATGGAAATATATAGTATAATATTTGTTTTCATACCCACAATGGGTGATATCGCAACGATTACGTTCAATTACCCACCATAGACTCCGGTCAGTCAAAATGGCTATTTTGAACTGTAGGCATTAATCTGTGATTCAGCCAACGATAGAGAGAGAAATCTAGGTCAGGGGAAGCCCCGTGAGATTTTCTTCCATTTCGCGCACCACGTGACCGAGCCAATGAGGGTGACACCTTGCCTTATGATCACTGTTTTCTCCACACCCAGTGTGCATCGTAGTCAAAACAGTGCGATTCAGTCTGCAGTTTTTTCGACTGAGCTTTTTGAAAAGAACCTGTGAACCATTGGTAACAGTAGACGTAGTGGCTGGTAGGATAAGTTTTTTTCTTATTTTGAGGCCTGTGTCTTTTTTTGTTTTGTGCAAAAAAACTGACGCATTTGGCCACATTGACGGTTTCTTTGTGTCTGAAATTCGTTTCACTCTTTCATGCCTTGTTCATTTTACTAGTGTGGTTTTCAAAATAGACAGGAATAAAGAGAGCAGTCCCTTAAGCTCCTCACCTCCTAGGTTGTTCCCCCAGAACCGATTCGGTCATGCAGCAATGAGTGTGAGTGTTGATGTGACTGATCGCGTTGATCAGTTTGAGGGCCTTATAGGGCTTGAGCAAGTGGAGTGCTAGCGTGAGGACGTCCTCAGGCAGGCTATTGCAGGCAGAGGTTTGTGTTTTCATGCTGACAACGACGAGGCTGTGCCCCTGTAGCTTGTTGCTCTTATGAGGCCTGTTACGGGTCCCTCTGTGGATTCCTCCTAGCAGCATGCCTGAGATTCAGGCTTTGGTTGAGGGCCTGCCAGAACAAATTGCGTCCCTTGCAGGTCAGGAAGGCAAACGCAGGTGGAGCAGGTTTCCTCCACTGCAGTTGCCTCTTATTCGTCAAGCAAAAAGAAGCACACCAGCAAGCGATATTCGTGTTCAAGGGATGCTTCCTCCTGGGATTCCTGAGTCCAGACCTTCCCATCGTTTTTGGAAAGCAGGTGGGGCACAGGTTGGCTCTCCCGGGTCTCCGCACAGAGCTAGTCCGCAGATGGCCAACAGGGGGGATGGCGATCAGGCCTCCGATTTCGGAGGGAACCAAGCAGGGTAGGACATTGGTTTTGTATACACACCCCACCTGCACTCATCCAGCCTGGGAGCGTTTGTCAGATCCAGTGACTGAACTAGGATTTAGTCATGTTGTACAAACATTTAGTTCAAAACAAGACAAAACAGAGAGGTAACCAAGATAGACAGCCAGGAGAATTGGATGGTCAAGCAGTCAGTATATTAAGAGACACTGGATGTGATCAAACAATTGTTCACTCTGTTTTTGTATCCCCTGAAGCTTATTTAGTAGATCAGTTTGTAAACATAGAATTTGCTGATGGTATGTCCAAAGTACTACCAATGACTTTTGTTAGTGTAAAGAGTGTTTGTTATGATGGACAAATTGTGGCTGCTGTATTAGAAACTCTGCCTGAAGACATACCACTTGGAAACAACATTGAGGAAACAGATGACGAAGGGTGCTCACGTGCACTACTGGTAATGCGTAGTCAGGCAAAAAAACAAAAAGAAAGGTTGCATGATGAACTGATTGACATACAGAAAACTGATGTCGATGTAGTTGAGTTACACAAAATACACAGAACAATGATATTATATTACAGAAGAGCGATAAACCGGAAGTTAGCAGGTGAAAGTGTGGTACAGCTTGAAGAAGATGTCCTACCTAGTTTATTTGAGAAGAGAGATGAAGAAGCGTAAACATTGAATCCAACTGCTGAACCCGCTAATACAGAACATGTTCCTGAAGACAGTATGGGCAATATGGAAATGACACAGAAGGAAGAGTTGGTTGTGTTTGATATAGGCAAACAACCACACTAATCATGACCACATACATCAATCAACAAACAAATCTGCAATCACGTTACAGACAGAAATCTCACAGGAAGCCACCAAATCATGATGGTGACCAAAAAACTTCTTAAATACACATTTAAGTCGAGGAATCAGAAACCCTTGTCTTATGAAATTGGCAGTCAATAGCCGAGAACATGCTCTCGAGTAACATACAAGCTGTGAAATATATAAACTTCATAAGATGGTGATGTAGAATGTTGTTATCAATATATATCAATAGCAAAATTAAAAATCGTCAAGTTTGTCATACAGCCTAGTTTTCCACTGCTGTCAAATTCGAGTAGTAGATCAATTTATGAAGCAGAATTCAGTGTGTCAGTAGTATCCTTAATTTGAAATTCATTGGGAAAATTATTTATGGGAGCATCACAAGCAATACATTGTGAATCATTTAAATATATATTTCTGAATTCTCTTGTCAAAATCAGTTTTTCACAATGTCGAAAACCGACAGTCTTTATCGTAGTGTTACACGCACAGATACGTTGACGACCTCCCGATATTTCCAGTTACCTGTGCTTGATTTATCCCAAAGCAGAGGACACAACAGAGTACATGGATTCGGCTTCATACTTTACCAATTCCCTGTATCTTGGCTCCTGCTTATGGTATGTACGCACAGTACATAACCTATAAGATAACGCAACGCATGTAGGTCGTATGACGATTTTCGAGTAAGACATAGCTCACTAGCTGCAAAGCTCAGTGGCGGATCCAGAGGGGGGCCAGGGGGGCCAGGCCATGCCCCCCCCCCAAACGCATGACGATTCGTATTATCTGGATTACGCATAGCTTCTCTGCGATTTACGCTCCGTATATCTTAAGCGTAACTTGGACCCCCCCCCCCAAATACATTTTGCTGGATCCGCCACTGGCAAAGCTAGTTAATTAAGATTACTCGAGAAATAGACTGGTAAAGACCTTCATAAAATGGTTTTGGAATACACCAACTGATAACTGAATAGTTGTGAGGAAATCAAATTATGCGAGAAATCATTCCCAATTACGACTCTATACAGAACACCTATGACTTGTAAATATTAGATCCTTATTACTTGCATTACAATAGGAGACCAATCATGATGGATGTTACTAGTCCCGTGGGACGTCAGTGGTCCATGATGGTCAGTTATCGGTGTAATTGGCAGTGGTTTTCTTCTCATGGACCTACCAACACTGTATTGATTTGTAAGGCAATAAACACTCCTCTTATTGTGGTACTTATTTTTCAAATTATTTTTGGATATGGTCCAAACGCTTGTAGTCTGTGCAACTTAATTTTAAGTACCTGTTTCCAGTCATACTATGCCCTCGTTATTTTACTGTCCTTTTTTCTCTGTTGATGCTGTTTGCTACATTAAAGGTAGTTTTGTTATACTATCGTCTGTTTCCATTACTACGCATTACTATGAGAGGGCGCTACGTTGAGTTATGTCCCGTAGATGTCCGACCCTTGTTCGTGTATCAGATAGTCGTGATGATTGTGATTCTAAGAACCAATACAAGATGGAACATCTGCATTATTTGGCTTTAATTCATGTGACCTCGCATATGACATTTGTATTTTATAATGCAGTAATATTTTGCAAGTATACTAGTACATTGCCAATATCGCATAATGTACACATTTGTGTGATATTCGAGTACAACTCATTTTCAAGTCAAATTATTTTATTTCCGATAATTAATTAATTCAGGGCATTAGTATAGATATTGTCATTGTACCAATGTTTTGATTTGTCACAATCATGGTACAACTATCATTTGTAAAAGTTTCGGCTAAGGGGCAATTTGTCGAATAAAAGAAAAGTGTTTTACGTTAATTCACGTCATTTTGAATTTCCACATATTTTTTTACTTAATTCATTTAGCTTGGGTTTAATTTTAGTCTTGAGATAATTGAAAAAAAAAACGAAATGCCAGGTCCGATAACAACAATTGTTAAATTGTGGCTGGATCTAGCAGACCCGCCAAGAATCTAATTGTACTTGTCTGTGTGTGAACACCCAGTGAACTAAGTAATATGCAAATTGAATTTATAATTAAACATTAGGGAAATACAGATTGCCTTCACTTCATCAATCTGTGTTATTGCTAATAATAGTTGCAATAATTTTAATGTTTTGTCTCGTTATGGAAAAAAATAGTTATCATGACATTCATCTTTCAATTTACTTTCCCCATTAGAGTGCTCAATGTCACAATGGACTATATCTTAGTGTTTTTCTATGTGAATATTTATAATAATACTAATGACTAATGGTAGCGGATATACCATCTTTCTTGAGAAAATTTCAAAACACTTGTTCTTTGTAGCATCTGAATAATTTGATACGCCCTCTACTGGTGTGTATGTAATGTTAAACGTGTTAAGCCTTGGAATTGTAGTAACTTTAAAGGGTAATGAATTAGCAGCTTATGAAGACGGGAATTGAGCTAAAAACACAGAGGCTCACTGGGTAGACGATTGTTTGGGCACCTGACGCATGCGTAGGTGAAAGGAGAAAAAGGAGCAAAATGATGCGAAATGTTTTGTCTCACTGTGTGTTGTAAATAGATTACATGCCTAAATTATGGACGCTATTTCAGCTATTGGGTGTCAGAAAATAGTTTGAGTATTTGTAACAGTAATGCTATAATGTCTAACAGCAATGTCTAATGAAATAAATCAGATGATATATTTTTCGTTGCTGGAACTACAGTGTTTAAACTAGTTAATTTTTTTATATTTTCTTATTTTCAGATTCTAAGTCTGTTTTCACAATGGTAACGTCAATATCGAGAACGGGTTATTACTTAACACGAATAATGTCAACTGTTCAACTTCAACCATGCTATGACTGTAAGAAGGATGTTAATTATAATATCCCTATCGTCGCCATTAACCTCATCATTATCTAACATCAATCTACACAAGTGCCACATCGAGCATAATATGTATATAAAGTTTTGTCTCAATTAAAACATTGTGTAATTATTATTATTTATTTTCATTTTAGGTTTACCCCTATGCTTGAATATAAAACGTTAACTACAGACCATGTACATCAAGCCAAGTACATCAATGATTAATACACCAATAATATTTAAGTGTTCCATATGATGTTATCTATCGATACAACAAGATTCTCACTGAAATAGCCGCCCAACATGGTGTGGCCGCTGTTGCTATTGATACAGATTCAAATATTATTGTTGGTGTTGGTTTGACATTTCTTTACTCTGATGAATCACAGCTGGTTAGTACATCTATCGATGATCTACCATGGTTACACACTATGTAAGCGATTGCTGCTCACGACCAGTGAGTATGGACAGTAGCTAATATACTGGTAAATGACTGTTTTCTTGCATTCTAATGTCTAAGAGTTTACAAAATGATCAAGGGCATAATTTTGAAGGGAATATGACAAGCGTTGTCCAGATCAACCTAATGTAATGCATGGTGTTAGCAATTCAAATAAACCATGCATGATCGCCTACGTAACTTAACCTCTGCAAAGAAGATGTTTGGTATGGATCCCCACCTGCCTGTTGATCATTTATTAGGAATATACTTACAAGTTGTAGAACCTACAACAACTGATGAATGGGTTACTCAACACCAATATAAGCATTTAGACACTTTTAAAATTGCTGGCACCAATATGAACAAGGGGGTCTTGTCCAGACAAAACGCTGTAATAAGAATGCTTCTGAGTTTCCAATTCCAGTTGTTCTTGCTGTTTCATATGAGGTAGTTGACAGACCAGATCCACATGGTGATGTTTATACAGTGCATCCTGTTGGTGTTGGCAAACTGGTAATCTGTTCATCGCTTTGAACTGTTATATAGTAAGACAATAGCCGATATAATTTTAATGACCAAATTAGCTGACACTGGCGGCCTTGGAGGTACGAGTTGGATGACAATTTGGTTGGTAACAGTGACAGTAGAACAGGTTTTGAATTGAAGTTTGTCTTCCACTTAAAAATCCATTCTGATAGCCCATCACTTGGCACATAGTAACCCCTATCATTTACCCCGTTCACCCATACAACAGCAAATACAGTCCATAGTCGCCAAGACTCAGCTGAAGACTGCTTCTTGTCCTCTTGAAACCTTAGGTCATGCCACTTCAGATCGTGGGTCTACTTAAGGTTAAATCATTCTTAATGGTTGAAATCAGGGCACATGCCGAAAAACTATGTGTGATATCGAGGTGTGAATTTATCTCGAATTTCATCGTATTGTTCCCTCTCTCTATCTTTATCCTGCACTTCATTGAATTGTCCCCGGCCCATTTGCCATCTGATGTTACTTGGTGAAAGGTATCCTCTTCAGACACGCCCTCTATCACCCCCTTTGGTTAATCATACTGAATGCCTTGGTTACTTGAATAGTTATAATAATAGTTTGGTAAACAATCATAATCAGCGGTTTCAATTGGTCCTGTGTTCATAAGTGTATAAAGCCTAAACTGAGCCGGCGCTTCTTGAAAATACTTACAATGAATGGAACTCCAGAGCGGGACTGAAATTAAGGGCGTGCTTTTAAGGCGGCGTTATTGTTCACTCGTGCTAAACTCGTTTCCGTAAGTACGTAGTGCCGGTCGAGACTTGCCATTTTAGGAAGTCGTGGCGCCGGCTTGTCTTGTTCATACGTGTTTAAAGCTGGCCTCCAAACCGGCTTTTTTGGCATACGTGTGAACACGGTATAATATTATTTGCAATTACACAATCAAATGTTGTTATTTATTTAGTACGTTGTATATGGGAAATGAGTGGACACGTGACTCTCATTATCAAAATCATTTCACTGTATAGGTATATATACTGTGTTTATTATTTACATATCAATAACACATCGTCGAACAAAATGTAAGAAATACAAATGAAAAGCAAAATCATCAAATTGAATATATTGGTATGTAATATGGGATACTACACAATCATACGTAATGTCCATATACAAGCCAGTAAATATAATCGTCGCTGAATAACATATATTTTGCAATAATAATAATAATAGATCACATGATCTGTACGAAACTACTTTAAATGTAATATCTGGTAAATAATGTTGCTTAATAGTATTTTCCTGTCGTTCAGAAATACTAGATGCATGATTACCGTATAGACCATTTATTTACAAAACCTTATTTGAAAAAATACTCTTTCCGTCATATCTGATCGTGAAACAATCTTAAATGTCATAATGAAATTACCAAATGTTTTCCAATTATCTTCTTTTCACACTCAGCTTGATACCATTGGGTGGAGTCAGAAAACCTAATTTTCCTAGTTTTGGTGGAATCTACAATAAAAACCAAGACAGTCAAAAAAATTACATAATGCTAGCCTGAATTCGGTAAAACATAGTTTCGAAGCTGAATTTCGTGTAAACAATGTATTTTACACGTGTTGTGTACGTCTCTATGAATCACATATACATCCCGGTCCTGTGGAACAATATGGCATTACTAGTTACCTGCGTTCTACTTGCCATTCGCAAGGGAAGCCGGGAACCAGCTAAACAAATGTAGTTGCGTGGATCACAGATCGGACCAAAAGCTGCCTTTCTTATTGGTTGACAGCTACAAGTCATGATACTCATTTGCATATTTATCACCACAAAACGTGGTAACAACTATTGAGGGCGCGGCGGAATGGACCAGTCATGGTAATTTCGCGTCAACGCGAAAGATTCTACAATCTCGTTCTAAAGGATTTAGCATATAAAACAATAAAACGGGGGTAAACGTAATTATGAAAGGATAATACTCACCTCAGTTTCGGCACAGGGTTCAAAGGTGAACTTCTGCAGTACACGAACCAATCCAATCTTTGCTTCCATCAATGCAAATCTCATACCAATACAGTTACGAGGTCCAGCACCAAACGGTATCCAGGCATATGGATGACGTTTCTCTTTCTCTTCTTTAGTGAATCTGTATTCAACACATTTGTATTTTAGTTGGTAAAATTATTTATTGCAGTAAGCTTTTATTAAAAACACAACAGACAGCAAGACAAATATATCTTCATTTAGTTTCATGCCAACTGTGCTAATACTGGTATCTATGTCATCTTATTTGCTCTCAATAAAGTAATGGTAAAGCAATTCATTGTAAGAACCAAACTGCGATAAATTGGGTAGTTCTAAGAAAAAATACTGAGACATATACACATATTATTATACATCTGTCTCTCTAACGTCATAAGTTACAGCGTGGCTTAATTTTCGTTGCGGTGTTGCACTTGATATTTTCATCATACCATATTTCCAAATATGGAACGATTACGCGCGAAAGCCTCCTCTAATAATACTAAAAAAAAACATGGCTTCCCGCATGGGTTTCAAGTTGACCGGACCCCGCACAAAGAACTTCGCTAAATCTGTTCTGAACGTTTTGAATTTCTAGGATGTATTCCTAGAAGGGAAAGATGTATAATAATAAGGTTATTACGAGGATACTGCAAAGTATGCACTCGGACAGTATGCAGTTTGCTGTATCCTCGTATTAATATAAGGTTATTACGAAGTTACCTCAAGGTATGCACGAAGACAGTAGCAGTATCGACCGACGCGTAGCGGAGGTCGATGCGACAGCGCACTGTCTGAGTACATATTTTCCTACCAAGGATACATAATGGGAATGCTGAAGTCTAAATAGTTTAGAACAGAATCAACGAACTTCTTTGTATGGAGTCAGGTCAAACCCTGGTGGCAGCCGTGTTTGTTTTTATTATTAGAAGACGCTTACGCGCGTAATCATTCGATATTTGAAATTCGCATTTCCTTATATGGTAGGATGAAAATACCCAGTAAAATACCGCAAGATTACGGCACCCTGTAACTTATGGCGTTACGATGACAGATGTATAATAATATGATATTATTCATAAACCGTATGTAAAAATATTTAATACAAACGTACCTTTCTGGAATGAACTTCTCTGGTTCAGGATAGATCTCAGGATCATGATGAATTGCATAAATGGAGACAGCTACAATCATACCTTTGGGGATCGACACTCCGCTGATGTTGACATCTTCATTACATTCTCGATCAAACCTAATAAAAATAAGCGTCGTGAAAGTAAGTTGTGATCACAGTGAACCGTGACAATTCTCATAAATGTGGTTCTTTATTGTGATTGTGGCCCTCTATAGTTGAGATTAGTTTCCTTATTACTGTGTCGTTTTTTTGACGTAGATAACGCTATTCGAAAGTCATGGTTACTGATTGGCCTGTTCGTCCACATTCAAATGAAGTCTATTGACAGTAGTCTGGTGTATTATGCAGCATTTAAATAGTCATGTGACTTTTTTTTAAAGCCCCGTACTGCGTGGCTCGTATTTTGATATTTTTGGCATGACAACATGTTCTATATTCACGGTTGTATGTTCAAAGGGTTTTGGAAAAGGATGTGGGGAAAATTACTATTTGTACACTATATATATCTCGTTCTTTCACAAGGTTGAAATAAAGTATTATTACCGAAAGTATCGTCGGCCATTAAATTAATTAGTGTCTAACAATTCGTGTAGTAGCCAATTCTATAAACAGTATAATAATGGTATCAAAGAAACCTTAATTGTTTATTCTTCTGTAATATTCCATTAAACAAATTATGCAACGATATATTATGTCATATCAAGCAGGGAAGTCGTGTATACTCGTGATATATTATTCAACGTTCGGTATCGGTATAGTAGACATGCAGCAGCAACATAGTCAACAACTTAAAACTACGATAAAGATTTCCGTTTTCGACATTGTGAAATTTTTTTGTTTTGGGGGAGAAAAAACTTGAAAAAAAAATGATTTTGACGAGCTATTTCAGAAATTTGTATTAAGAATAGTTAATAACGAAATGTATTCCTTATACACCCATAAATAAATTTTATAACTACTGCTTACACAAGTATATTATAGAAAAAAGATTATTGCTATATTCTCTATATATTTGCTTTTTATTTGTCTTGTATTCTGACTGAAATAAGCTGAATGAAATTACAAACTATGTAGTGTGTTCAACAACTCATGTATGAACAATAACTTTAATAAATATAATTTATTAAATTATATATTATAATTATTATATAATTATAATTATAATTATAAATATATTTATTAATTTATAATTTTACTTGATAAAACTTGTATAATACAATGTACATACATACCTGATTGCAGGTGGGTACATTCTCAGTGTTTCCGTGACAACCATATCAAGATATGTCATCTTCTTCAATGTTTCGTATCCAATGTCATCGTCATCGTCAGAGTCACTCATAATGTCATCGATTTCACTATGCAATTTATTCTGTACCTCGGGGTTGGTTGCAAGACTGTAACTTACGAATGACATCAATGTGCTGGTAGTCTCATATCCAGCAAGGAAAAACAGCAACGACTGGTGAAACAAAAACATGTGCAATACGTTCGTCGTCAAAGCGGTGGAGTCGTCACTTGCGCATGCGTCAGATGGCCGTAGCGTGTCATTGTTTACAAACAAGCGTCTACCCATGAGCCTTTGCGTTTTAGCACGTGTTGTTTTGACCCGCGCGTGCGCAGGTGACGACCCTCGCGCTTTAATATAAACCAATCAATTTATCTCATAAAGATGCCCGTAAATGCTATATTGTTTACTGCTGGAATAATACCGAACGAACCGGTCTACGACTCACAGAATACCCCCTTCCCCCAAGGGAAACAAATGTGAATGTTTTTTTGTTTTTGCTTTAGATGCTTGAAGAAACATGTCCAAATTTGAATATCTAAAATTATGTCATGCGTTGTGTCGTGTTGCCAAGCAAAGCTATTTTGACCTTTGACGCCCGCTGTATTGTCCAAAACTAGTCCGCCTCTCCCCGAATTGAGGCAAATTGGGCAAAAGTTTCACACAACTGATAATCATATGCTCGGAAATTCAGAGTGATACATCGAAAATATATCCAGGCTGACAGACACCCAATGCAACTGAGTTATAAAATAAATGTGGAACTACTTGTTGCAGCACAATACAAACCGAAATAGTAATCAGGTCTCGTTTGAACACGCCAATGAATGCGATTCACCGACGTCAAAAAACAAAATAAAAATTTAATATGAAAACTGAGGGCGGTATAAATCTTTATGCGCATGCTGATGCTTATATTTGCGTTTTTCTATATTTACCTGTTTCACATCTAACTCACCTGTGCTAACATTTCATCCTTCGTGAATCCTTTTTGAAGTTTGACCTGAGAAGAAGGACCATCTTTGACAAAGTCAACCTTGTTCTCGCCTTCGTCTTCATCAATTTCTTTATCTTTGTTTGCCATATGCTGGTCATATACTTCATGGGCGTTTACCATTAGTTGTAAGAAGTCGATTCTCTGTCGAAAAAATGAAATAATAAGTACATGTATTGTCTCGTGGAATATTCTATCTAATCAAATTCATGAGGTCATTGAGTGTTAATAACTACATATTGCTTAAATTATTATTTATATTATATTGCAATAAGTATTTGTTTTAGTCATCAGTAATTTGAAAAATCAAAGGGAATTGGCTTCTGACATAGTACTTATTGGCAGATGTAACGTTATGTTGATGTCTATATGGATAAATAATTTTAGACAAGTAAATGTGTTTATTTCAACAAAAACAAATATATATAATAACAAATAATATATAATAATATATAATAATATATATAACACAAACAGGTCTTGAATGCTTACTAAGTACGACACCTATAACCTGGTGATGTGCAATTAACTGAAACACTTGCGATTGAAAGCGAGATTGAATTTAAGGGCGGTAGTCGTCGTGCCACGCATGCGCGAGATATATGGGTTTCATATAAACAAAGATGGCGACTTTGGCTGATTGAGACGTTTCCAAGCTTTAATTGCGCAATTTTTAGGTGCCAGTTATGTAGAGTAGCGATGGAGTCACAGGCGGTATTCAGTGCAAGTCACACCCAGGTCAAATCTCATACTTGTGATTTTCATTTGAAGAGCGTATTCGATTGTGGGAAAATCAACACAAATGTCGCACTTGCGCAGCGCGACGACCACCGCGCTTTAATGTCAAAATGTACATAACACGACACTTACATTACTTGAATCTCTGCCAGGTTTTCGCATCTCAATAGCATCTTCAGTAACACCCACGAAATAGTCCAATACCTTCTTTGGAAACAATTGAACGTCAAACAAATTCAGGAGTGGAACCAAAAATGGGAAGAAAACTGCAAAACAAAATGTTATGCTTATAATACAACTAATACTCCAACAAATCATTTTATCTTTTTAATAAGACATGATTTCATATATGTAGGCTGTCGACCACGGGGAAACTATTTAGACATATATCTATCAGAGATGGAATTATGTTATGTGTGACTAGTACTTACATACTACAACAAAAACAGGACTGAATAAACTGAATTTGAAGGCTAATTTCGCATTTTCCACAAATGGGTGACCAGGTTGTGACTGCGAACTGACGTCAAGACCAAATCCAGCACTTGCAATGCTGTCCACAACAAATCCGCCATACAAACTGAAATGGATTAATAAGCGTTTTATGTTAATACAAGAATTTCAGGGGTACGCTGTTTTTATGATAAATATTTTCCTACTGTAATGTTATATATTCACAGAACAATACTCACTCTTTGCACTGTGCAACTTTTTCTTCTTTGCAGTATGTTTCCATGTTTGCAACCAACTCATTGGCACACTGATTGATAAGGGGAGCCATCTACACGAATACAAACACAAACATTTATATATAGTATACATTAACAAATGTATATTCTTTTAAAAATATTCCCATTCAACCAAAATACAAATATTGTTTCAAACTAGTGTATAAAATATGCAGTTCCTACCATTCTCATCTTAGCTCCACTGAATGCAGGCGTCAACGTGTTTCGTGCTCGCTTCCACTGGTCGTCTACCAATACTGTAAGACCCGAATTCATGGGTTTGCCGTTCAACGGGAGTACCTGTGAGTGAGAATCATATGTCCACTGTAGTTAAACATAAACTGTTATAATTAATTTCCCACGTTCGTGCCCATGTGAGAGGTGCTCGCTTGTTTGTTTTTTCGCACCTCCTTCAACGACTCACACGGATAAGCTTCAGAATGGAAATTCCAATTAAATTGACCCGAATCTGACAGATGAACATTTTCAAATAATTATTGTGTACACATTCTGTCGGGAAAATAACATTATAAGCCCCTTTCCCTGGATCACGCAATAAGCGCCGTTGTTAGATTGCACTTACCCTTCTGTTGACGAATGACGAGAAGTGTTTTACAGTTATTTGTTTACATATCTCAGGATCAGCAAAGTTGATTACAGGTTGTCGGCCTTCATATGTACTGTGATGAAGACAATTGGAAAACAAGGAATAGTGTTATTGCATGATATATTCAGACAATATTAAGCCGTATCGAATCCAGCGTATTATATAAAGCGGCGGAAATACATGGTTTTATGAAATGTTTATACAGATTTTCACAAAATGGGAATAACTGATACTGCTTGTCGGGAGTACTTAAAGCTGAAGTGTCGTCACCTGTGCACGCGCGGGAATTGAATCCCAAGCGACGATAACAACACACGCTAAAAACGCAAAGGCTCAGGTAGACGCTTGTTTGTAAACAATGACACGCTATGGCCATCTGACGCATGCGCAGGTGACGACTCCCCCGCTTTAATGTTGTATACACATTTGATTAAATGCAGGACACCTTCCATTAATTAGCGCTACAAATTATAAAATAAGTCGGCTTGGCAGCTATCCCATGATATCGGGGCGCTGAAGCGAGCTCGCCACTTGACAGCAACATGATCTACAATTGTGCATTGTGTGTTAAGGTTCTCTAGTCTTTCTTCTTCATAGTTTGTTTTGATATCACGTTCGTTAAATGAGAAGTTACCTTCCTCCTTTTATAATTCTAGGATGAAATTAACTTACCCAAATACTTTGCCATATTCCTTTATCCATTCCTGCTCCTTGTGCTGTATACCCTGTAACATATTGCAATTTATAATAATGTAACATAACATTTGCGTTTCTTGTTCGGTCAATCATGTTTTGACTACGTGTTTAGTAACTATACATGTATACGATTGTGTTGCTTACTGCAACTTCTGGTCATTGGTACGCGGTGGTCGTTAAGCGTGCGCCTCGATCTCTCGGTGATTATAGTGCCTCAGCAGAGGTCGATTACTCGAAAGTCCGGGGATGCGCCCTTAGTCTTTGCATGGAGCTAAAAAAAAGAACTTTTTTAGTTCCATGGTCTTTGCAAGCCAAAAGTCGTTAAAACGAGAAAAGGTACAAGACGAAAACCCCAAAGTTGTCGATACAACTAATGTGTGCCTCTTATAACTGGCGGGACTGATAAGAGGGACTATGACAGGAGGTATCCTTCAATCTTGTCTATTCAAGCATGAACTGTATAGACATTGTCTATAATTTAAGCAAGTAAAATTATGATAATTATATGTCTGTTAATATCTGTATATTAATATCTAAATCTCCATAATTCTGTCCTTGGCCTTCATGCATACCCATCTACACTCTCCCTTGCAGAGTCTTCGTGACCTAGGGAGCCACAGAGAGCCGCACTTGTGAGACGTTCCCTGGCGACTACCTAGCTTAGTGATAAAAGCCCCATAGTCTATGTGACGGAGAATGACCCATCTATACACGTTATTACATCGCTTTTAACATTTTATCCACATGAAATATACCGATGTCGTTTCTGTGCCATGTGGACAGGCATCCACGTCACATTGCATATTTAAACTTTGAGCATGGTAAAATAACACCTACATAACCCCTACATTAGATATTAACCAAAATTATTTCGGTATGATAAGATGCGCTCGAATCAATAACAGTGGTTAAAGGGCGGTGGACATTGCGCCACGCATGCGCGAGATATGGGACCCATGTGAACAAAGTTGACGATTTTGACTGTTGCGCAGACCAACGAGTACAAACCGAGACGTTACTAAGCTTTAACTATGATATTTCTTCGGTGGTTGGAAGGTATCGAAGGAATCACCGGCGGTAATTAGCGCACGTTGCGTCCAGGTCAAAACTCGTACTCGTGATTTCCATTAGAAGCGCGCATTGGATTGTGGGAAAATAAATGTTTATCAACACAAATGTCGCACATGCGCGGCGCGAAGACCCTTTAGAATGGTGGAGAATTGTGAGTCCCTCGACAAACTGTGGTTTTTAGGAGTTGATGTGGATCGATGATGCTCGTATGTGCTTTCGAGTCTTGCTTAATAATTCTAGATGTACAGAACTGACTATGGGTCAATGACTTCCCGCCTCAAGATCTAATGGTACCCTTACACCGGAAACGGTTATTCCTTAACATTCATTTGCATAACAGTGACGAATTCTCTCATTTCACAGAAGTATGGCCGTTTTTTATAAATAGTGTAACCACGGTGTAAATTTAGGTCTATTTGTTTGTCAGCTTAGTTTCGAGTGTTTCCACACAGCACAATAAACACTTAATTACGAATTAAATGTAATGAGTGGCCGTTGAGTTTCGATAGCGAGTGTCCGGCAAAGCTATCAGCCAAGCCTGCCTACCTGCGTTTCGTTTAATTTTTCAAGATTTGTAACATGATTATTATACAGCAAAAGCCGAACCGTGCTTTTATTTCTAGATGAATAAGTATTGTTTTGCCTGTCTATACAGATGTGTCAACTTCACACCGAATGTCAGACAGACATATGTCAGACCGCTTTTTCTCGGCCAATCGTGGTATAGAGATGCATTACTTTCTTTGGCGTTGCCAGAGACTGCGTTCATCGTTATAACTTTTCTCTAATCTTTGAACGAATTTTAAATTGGTATTTAAAGATCCTCGCCATTATGTAAATTAGACACATATAACATCAACGCAACTGAATTCAATTGACAAAGCTCGAAGCCGAAAATAAAGCAACTTTGCAAACCCTGTGTTGTGAAAATTCGCCGCCGTTACTTATATTTTTATACTTTTAGTCTAACAATTCTTCAAAGTTGTTTCAATAAGTTCTACCAGTTATAAGTTAATTAGAGCACAACGTAAAACACCTTTAAACGCAATAAAATCACGCATGTAGGAAACAGTGCGTTGATTGAGTTGTTTTGCAATAGACATTAGTTTAGGGTCTGTATATTTCTATTTATTTTTTCGTTCAGCTTTGTCTTGTTAAGAAAACTCTTAAAATAATTCAATCTACCCTTAAAAAGAACGCTGCTGTTTCGATCACATTCTATATGTTGAGCGCGGTTCATTGAACTCCATAAATTTGGGCAAACAAAGCTGTTGACTCAGTACGCAGGCGCAGGTCTGTACTATGTAAATAAATAGTTATCTGGGCCAAGGAGCCCGTGACCCGTTCACACAATGTAAAATCAATATGGAAATGGGCGACTCCTTATTTGGAAAATTTCTCCCCTAATATGGTATGGCGCCGACACCTATGTGAAGCACAATAACGTAAACTCAATCGAACTTAGAATGAGACAAATTCTTTAAAAAAATCAATGAATTTGATGTATTACCTTACTAGACTGCATGTTACCGATAATCGGCCAAGGTGGCGGTCCAGGGATTCCCATTTTCTTGAAAGTAGAAAAGTTCCATGTCGAGTACCTATAGAAAATAACAACTGTTCAATTATTTTGCATCTAATTATGTGGTAATACTATTCAGTGTGTTAAAACAGAATGTTTATAGACGTGATCATGGAAACTTTCCGGTTTTACTGACACATTAAGAATTGCGTATTGTAAGCAACTTGAAAAACACCAATTGAGGTCTATGTCGATTGCACTGCTACACACTGCATTATCTGCAACCCAATGACGTCACTTCGAATAGAATGAATAAAACCTGCGTATACTGTGACAGGTACTGCGAAACAATAGCCAAGACACTACGACATTGTACACTGGTTTCTTTCGAAAAAAAAAATGTCGGCAAAGGTTTTCTATGCATACTGATTATGGTGCAAATATAGAGTAAATATAAACTTACAGATAACACAGTACTAAGACGATGCCAATTAAAAGTACAGTGGTCGGCGAAAGTCCGAAGAACATCCAAGGCAGCTCCATCGTGTTCTCGTGAAGAAAACTATTTGCCTTGTTTAACCCTGTTACCTCTAAATATACTCAAGCACAACGAAAATCACGCATGCGCAGAATGACATCATCTTGGCGTCATATGCTATTCACGTCTCATAGCGTGAGAATAGAATGAATGGATTGTGTTGAAATCGCGTATACCTTTTTAATTTTTAATTTTTTATTATCTAGCTTTTTTAGTAATTACTGTATTTTACTTTCGTTTATCTGATCATTTATTTTTAATTGTTTTATGTTTTTTTCTAAAACATATTTACTTTATTATAATCAATTTAATACCCTAAAGAGGGTACAATGTCAATACAGTTTACTTTACTTTACCTGACGCAATGTCAGTCATACTGTAATACTGCCTTACTTTGCGTCATATTCTGCACTTTTCAATATACATGCATAGTTAAAGCCTAAAAAAAGGACGTCTCGGGTGCAATGAACGACGAGTGACCTATTCGTAACGTGCGTTTACAAAGATTTATTCAAACTCAATGGTCGTTGTGTTTGATCCGTCCTATTGCCATTGAGATGTCACTGACATTTACTACTCGTGCTATACATACAACGTAGGTTAAATAATATGTCATTGCAAAACGTTTGAAACGGGCAAAAATGGCAGTCGTAGGTGAGTAGTACGCTGCTGTTCATATACAGCCATGACTGTAAAGACGGACATGCCTGCTTGTTTTGGGTTGTGCAGTTGACACAAAAGCGAAAATTGCCCTGCGTTGAGTACAACTAAACTTTTCTACTTGACCCCGTGAATCTGTCACGTGACAGTTGCAAATTGACAGCCGCCATATGCGATAGTAATAAAGTAAACAATGAGTCAGCTTTATAAACGGCCTTAAATGGTCGTCGACTTTGCGAAGCATGTTATCGATATCTGATTTTTTTATACCATTGCACCACTACAATCCTAAATGCAAAGTGTGTCAGGCATATTGCTGATATCTGTAGAAACGATTTCTGAAACGTATCTGTCATGCAAAATGTTCGGTTACGAGGCGCACCGTAATAATGACGTCATTGCCGCACTGCATTGCGGGACATGTATGTATGAATTAACAATCGTTACAAGGGATGCCCCTCTAAAACCGCCACGGGGTTTGATTATAAAATCAACACAGATGAAATGTGAACTTGTCCCTGATACTAAATCACGGTCAACTAGAGAAACACATGTAATGTAGTTCAAGAAGCATACATGTTGTGACCGGTCGTGGAGAATAATTAGATTACGTAATGCTCAATGACGTCATTTACACTTTGCAATTGACTTTTGCCCGCCAACATGACGTCTATTTCAATGGCTATATAAAAGCGAAGAATCATCTCTTAAAAAAAAGGTCAAGTATTAGAAATGATGTGTGTGACTAGAATATTTGTTAAAAAAATCTAAGTAACTAAGATGTATAAAAATGAACAGATGAGACAACGCAAAAACAAAATGCACGGGTCGCACTCTTCTCACCACCCACATGACATGGTCTTCTAAACACTTCAAATAAAACGACAACCAAATGAATGTGGGACGAAAATTACAAATTCCATAATAATAGTTGCTACACAGAGCCAAATAATAAACCCCAACATGGAGTTCATTTGGTGATGCATGGCCATCACACAAAACCAAGGTGATATTATTTCGTGACGGGCAGTAAATGATGACGATTCAACTCCCTTTGGCCCCCGTGGATTAGTCACGTGACAGTTACAAACTGGCGTAGGGCAATTATATGTAGGTCGTTGAAAAGTACGCATGCCAGTAATAAAGTAAACAACAAATTTATGAACGAACCTTATATGGTAATCTACTTTGTGAAATGCGCTGTTGACTCTATAAGGGAATGACTGTGAAAACTAATATGACCAGGTATTGCCACGCGTGATGTTATGTTATTTACACACACACGACGATTGTCTTGACTTGGTTAGATCAACATCTTGATTATACTTTATCTAAATTACCTAATTTGCATATTTAAATGAACAACTGACGTAATTATCTTGATTGCTTGATATTTGCATATGAGTTGTTCAACCTACTCAAAAACATCTTGTGATATATCAAATGAAAGTTATTTGAATGTAAAATGGATATTGTGTTTCCAGTTTTTGCGACATTTTTTTTTATATAAATTACTTAAAATGGAAATTATCATTTATTCACACTATAGTCAATCCCATAGTGTTACATGATGTATGGAAATAACACTGCTGTTTATCGTTGAAATATGTCTATTAATATAAGCACATGTCACAAATGCATATTATCTACCGGGGCGCAAAAATACAACAATACTAGCCCAATATTATGTAGGGTTTTGTGAGCAAAATGAGACCAGTGTGAAATGTTTTTGTAAAAAAAAAAGTTGGCAAAATTCACATTGTTATTTTTTGTTTGTCATAAAATGCAGAACGAGAAAAAAAGGCGTTCAGAATATCAGTATACCCTATATATTCCCAGACTTTTGCTCAGACACTTTATATAAAAACATGGACAGTGGCCCCTCGCTAAGTCGTGGGTGTCGGGATCCAAGCAAAAACCGCGACTTACTCGAGGGTCGTGACTTACCGAGAGGCCTCGTGAAAGAGGGAGGGTCGTGCATTGAAAACATTGTATTATTATCGAATATTTCATTAATGCACAATTTAGAATGAATAAACAAGATGATATTTGGTACAAAAACAACATAAATTCTGATGACAGCATGGTTTAATTTTATTTAATGCCTTTATTGTGGGCCATTCATCACACTATATGACCCCATGTAAACCCAGCGTCTCCGAATCTTGATTTGAAAACTCAGAGGGTGCCATTCTAGAGTTACTACCGAGCTTCACATTGATTAGAATAACACTAAAATGACTTCATCATGCTATAGAATTACGTCACCAATTGTGATTACGATTGGTTTAATATAATGGACAGAATGAATCATTACAATATGATTGGCATGTTGGACTTTACATGTCGGATCTATGTCTGTGACCTCAATAATGTATCAAGGTACAACATTGGTGGTTTGTAGTGGACTAAACGGTTTGAAGTAAAGCGGATTACGGCCTGTAGCACCACCCGTGGACAGACAATGATTAAAATCTATGAAGTTGTGCGTAGTCATTGGAATTAACGAGCATTTAGTCCTGAGAATACAACATCAGCCGGAAAAGCTGAACTTCAACGCTCTTCTCAAAATCATTGCTAACAAATAGCAAATTAAAAACTGGATTATTATTGATTTATATTAACATATGAAGCCCATTTTCCAACAAAGGGCGTACGGACAACCGCGTGTTTAAAACACTGGATAAGTATATCAGAACTAAGACGTATTGGTATTGGTAGACAAAATGGGTAAAAATGATTTTTAAGGAAAAGTTTTTCCAATAATCCTTAAGATTACTCAAATTACACCTGCTAGATTTTCAGTAATGCCGTGTGTGTTAACCACTCACTTTATAACCCCCCCTACAACTTTCGTTTCTTTTTTGATCTTTTCGTTGTGTTTGTGTAACAGTAAATAGTATCACCACATTACTTTACTTTCACAAAAGTGAGGCTGAATCAACCACACAATGTAAAGTACAACATATAGTCCCATGTTAGTACTTAATGAAATACACTACGCTGTATGTTGAATCTCGCGCCATGATACAACATCTAAATATAGAACATTGTATTTATTTATTTTTTGCAAAAAACGAACAAAAGAAAAAAAAATGTCACAAGCGACAATAATAAATAAAACAAGAAAATGTTCAACAATTGGCATACTTGCTTGAAAATTATTTATTATACATTGAGATTATCATCCCCAAAAATTGGCACCTAGCAGTTTCCATCTCTTGGTTCTTTCAATCTAAGAATGCATCTCATTACCAATAGCTAGATAATCACAAAGCATGCATAACTTTTCCTTTTCTAAATTTCTTTATTGGTAGTTTATGTGCAGAAATTCTGAACTTAACTGTGTTTGACATTATGTACATATTCCAAATATGGTTCCAAAAACATTTCAAATTTAAATTTGATATCTGTACGTATTATATTATGTACTTTTTTACATAAAATGGGGACCATATTTTTTTCATAAATGTTTGCTTTAGTTTATTTTCAAAAGTGTAATTCTGCTAATATCAATGATGGTCAAATAATTTTTGAATGAACTTTTCACTATTAATTTCACCATTAATTCTGTGCAATTTAAACGAGAAACTCCCCAATATTCTGTGTAGCCTGAAAGGCGCGAACACACAGCATGTTTCAGAGGGTTCAAACAAGAAGATGAAATGCCATGGATTGTATACACCACACTATGAATTGAGGGCCTGTATTGCATAGATCGGGCTTGACAAGCGAAAATGTTTGTATACATGTCTCCCAACAACGCATGCGCATTACGACGTCTTTGATGATGGTGACGTATCGTTCAACTCGATTTGACCCCGTGGATTGTATTAACCTTTGTACCGAGGCTATTACATTATGTGCATGTAATTTATGTTTCGCTGAAACGGGACGTTAAGTTGATAAAGATAGTTTAATTTACGCGCTCTGTGAACATGGACGTTAACGGGGTAGCTGGGACAACTTTATTTCTCATCGGACTTTTATTGTTTCTGGTGTACATGTAAGTAAATATATTAATACATTTTAATCCCTATCCAGGCAACACAGTTTTATCGCCGCCATTTAAAAGTCATGTATACAGCTACATCAGACATGCATTGGTTACTGTACATTGCGTTGCTTTGACGAGTATGTTGTTCTATAGAACATGTCACACGTGTGTCTTAATGCTGAATATATACGTCTATACCCGTAGTTATGCAGTATGGCCATTCTCTACGTTCACAAAGCTGGGGATTGCAGGACCCAAACCAGTTCCTTTCTTCGGAAACTTGACGCAGATGGGAACAGTAAGTTTCATCAACGTACTTAGTACATGGGAAGGATGAACAATGTGGTAGTTAATTTGCAAACTCACTGAATACTAGTCGATTTTTTTTTCTATACCTATCAAAGTGCAGTATGAATAAACAATCTCGGATATTCCTTAATTGTATATGTGGCACATATTTAGACCTATGCTTACCTACCCAATGGAAAACGAATAATTACGTCAGCATTTCTCTTCGTTTACATCGTTCACCCATTTGGCCCAATACATCCCTGCTCGCTCTAAAAGCCGAACATATTGAGCAAATCCCCCCCCCCACCACCACCATCACAAAAGCCACATACTGAAATTGTTTCAATGCATTCTGTATAATGCTGAATACGTTATTGTTATTAGGGTATGCAATATAAAGACTTGGAATGGATCAAGAAATATGGTAAAGTATACGGGTGAGTCACACTATATCTGTCAATATTTACTGACGCGAAGTGACTGGTGTCATTAGCGGACACATTAGCGACGTCACTGTACATGTCTCAACGTTACTAAGTCTGAACTGTTGGTTTGTTTTTAGCTATTACGAAGGTAGGATGCCAATGTTGTTAGTTGCTGATGTAGAGATGTGTAAACAGATAATGGTCAAACAGTTCTCATCATTTGTTAACAGGAGGGTAAGCAATAATGTCTTAGTAAAATGATTAACAATAAATGATTCTACGAGTCGATATTAAATATTGACAAAACTAATGACAAGACCACGCCACGTTTCTCGTATGCATGATTTTTGTTCGGGTACGTCATCATATCCGCCATTTTGATCACCCTCAGAGTTTGCCAGTAGCAGGCATACATGTATACTATCACGCATATATTATCCACTAAGAGTTGTGCATGCAAACGAGCACACATGAAACATGGGATTCCAACTCTCAAATACCTGAAATACGCGTTGCCATGGCAGCCAAACGCGCTGCCATCCACGCAACCAAACAACGCAGTGACTGGATAGTAATAATGCACAAGCCGGATCCGTACATCACAAAAAAACTTACAAAGCCACGTACTCGTGATTCGAAATGAACCAAATTCTATCCACCAACTGAGAAAACCGTAACGTTAAACAGATGACTTTCAATTCACTGCGGGTATCTCGCGTGTTGCGTAAAAAGTGCGGTTGGAACATCTGCCGGAAAAATCGAATGTTTCGATTTTGAATTTCTTTACAGCTCAATGTCGAAATGACGATCTCTCAGAAGAGAATGTGGCGTTGAAATTCCCTCACTTCAGCTAAACTGACCATCATCAAATGTGTATAGCACAGTCATTATTAAAGCGCGGTAGTCGTCGCGCTGCGCATGTGTGACATTTGTGTTGATAAACGTTGATTTTCCCACAATTCAATGCGCTCTTCAAATGGAATCACAAGTATGAGGTTTAACCTGGGCGCGATATGCACTGATTACCGCCGGTGACTCCTAAAAACCTTCGAATAACATGACAATTATTTAATTAAAGCTTGGAAACGCCTCAGTCAAAATCGCCATGTTTGTTTATATGAGACCCATATATCTTGCACATGCGCAGCGCGACGACTACCGCGCTTTAAGCGCAGAAAAATACCCGAGAAATACTTTCTTCCCACTTACCTTGATATGCGCATTTTTTGTACTAGAGATTTAATCTGCAAGGGACACTCTGGAGCTCAGCACTTCCGAATCTCGTTGACGAACACTGGAAAAACGTACGTAACACCTTGACCCCTGCATTTAGTGCCTCAAAGATGAAACAGGTAAGTGTATTCACCATATTTGATACTGAGTGTAGACATTATATTGTTGTTGTTGTTGTGTGTACTGAACAAGGATCTATATTTTAGTATGAATTTAACTTACAAAGTTATTCTAGTTATTGCGAGAGGTTGGGCTGTTCTCGCGGGAAATCATGCTGTTTATTTATAGTCCCTCAAAGTCCTGTTGAATTCCGCATATTCGTACGTTGCATGATTATATTGTGACAATCCTTGTTTATATGTCATGTAGACGAAGACAACATACACGGTCGCTGTTTTGATATATGATATATATATATGCTGTACAAATCTGAATATGTTGTTAATATTTCAGTTGGCTCCATTAATAAGTTCAGCAAGTAACTATATGGTTAAAAACCTCGACAAACATTGTCAAAGCAAGACGTCATTCAAATGTATAAAAAAGTAAGTGCAATCCCCTTAAAGGGCGGTGGTCGTCGCGCTGCGCATGTGCGACATTTGTGTTGATAAACATTGATTTTCCCAATGCACCCTTCTAATGGAAATCACAAGAATGAGGTGGGTGCGACTTGCATAATTACCGTCGGTTATTCTTCGATACCTTCCAATCAGCTAAAAAAAATACATAATTTAAGCGTGGTAACGTCTCAGTTTGTACTCGCCGATCTGCACGCTTAGGTATAAGTGAATAAGGTAGTGCAATTTTCGAACCGTACCGTGATAGCCGATTCCATAGGTTAAATACATACACAGGTGTTTTTACAATTTGCATTCATTTCTGTGAAAACCACCAAAGTTTAGTCATTGATCGGATTTCTCTGGATGTTGCAAGATCAGAACAACCGATTATCTACTTTGTTTCAAAATATTGCCGAGTACCTGCAGAATTTTATGTACAATCTCATTGCTGTGTGTGTACCTGTCGGGACTTTAGACGAATTCAGCAGGTTATCGACAGAATTTTGTACAACACCCAGAGCTATCCCAATGGCAAAATTTCGGTGGTTTTGACTTTAATAAAACAAACCTTCCCACATTTGGGCTGTTTTGGAATTATAGAGCAACTATATTCTCATGTTGACAGTCTGTATGGGTATTACGTGCTAGACAGTATTGCCGGTGCAGGATTTGGTATGGACCTCAGTTCTCAAACCGAACCTGATCATCCATTTGTGACAACAGTGAAAAGGTTATTTAAAGCACATACAGTCTTCAAGCCGGTTTTCATGATTTTATGTAAGTGGGATTATTTGATATTCGATTATTTGATATTTCCGATGTTTCAGAGTTTCATAATCTCTACGAGAATGGCTTTTTATAAATAAATTAAAATAAAAAGAAGCTCATCTCAAATTATCAAGGTGTGTGGAGAAAATATAAAATATTCGCTCAGAACGTGATTATTCCTTATTATTTACCCACATTGGACGCTAATGACGTATGTGTGCTACAACAATGTCATTTTTGAATGTTGATGAAACGCATATGGGTTACTTGGTGTTTAACATAATATATCGTTTAATAATCTGTTGCAGTGTTTCTTCCGATATTTGTGCCATTTTTGAAGCTCTTCAAAATCTCGTGTTTTCCGAGAAAGTTGATGGATTATTTCGTGAAAGTCTTGGAGGAAACTATTGAAACTAGAGACAAGGATCCTGACTCCACTCGGGTGTGTTAAGGTTTAATACGTATATTTCAAGTAATGACGTAATAGCAACACAAATAATCAGTATTGGGTCGATGGACTGTATTGTTTGTCACTACATGTAATTCATTACTCATCGAAAATATTCCCAAGGAATTTAGTTTTTTTCTGTGTAATTATCTTTACGAAAAATAGTTAATCTTGAGGCAAGACTTTTATGTTTAATTGACATTGAACACATGTCATGTGACCTATGTCAAACATGAGAATGTGTATACGTGTCATGTGACCTATGTCAAACATGAGAATGTGTATACGTGTCATGTGACCTATGTCGGTGCTTATACGCAGACAAAATTGGAACGTTTTTATTCCAGATTTATTGACCAATGTTGATTATATATCATCTCATTTCATACCAGAAAGTAGACTTCTTACAGCTGATGTTGAATGCTCATCACGAGTATGAACAATACATTGAAAACAAGGAAGAAGAACCAGACGAAGAAGACGATGTGCTCAAAGTACAGTTTGTAAAAGGTAGTACGTTGCTGACTGGCGTTTCTCATAAAGGCTTGTCTGAAGATGAAATGTTAGGACAGGTATGACATGAACCACTCAATTGAAACATCAAATGTGGAAATAATAGTGTTTTATCTAAAAAGAAAATATATGTAGTAGTAGTAGATATCCTGCTCTGACTTTTACACCTATTTATTTTGAGGGTCCAGAAGGGTCTTATTCCCGGAAAACATACCTACAATGTAAATAACCTTTGTATACAAACAAAGACGCCTAACTCATTGTATAATCTGACTCAATTTAGAAGGCTCTTTAATATTCATATTCAAAAGTTAATTTTCCATTACTCATTCACAATGCAACTTTACCTGACATGGTCAACAAAGTGTTACTGTAGTATTATTTATTTGGTATTAGATAATAGTGTTTCAAAATCATATATTAATGAACGTTTCGTTTATAAAAAAAAAACGAACGTGGGGATCAAATCTTCGTAAGTAAAATAACAAATACCGCACATCAGATAGGAACAACACGCAACCAATAAAAACATCATTTAAATAAAAAGAAAATTATGATATTTATGAATTATTAAATTTAATAGAGATTCTTTTCTTCCAGGCAATGACTTTCTTTTTTGCTGGATATGAAACTGTCAGCACGACAATGAGTTTTGCATCCTACAATCTAGCCACCAATCCAGATGTTCAAGAGAAGTTACAAGGAGAAATCGACAGAGTTATGGCTGATTACGATCAGCCAAACTACGAGGCTATATCCAAGATGCCTTATTTAGATATGGTATTCAAAGAAACACTCCGGAAGTACCCTCCTGTTATAAGGTAGAATTATATTTCATTTACATATACAAGGAAATTGACCACGATGCTGCACATACAGACTCATATACTCGAGATCGAAAGTGACATTTCTGTGTAATAAATTATTTCAGAATTAGTCAAATTAGTCATGCATGTATGACATGTTGGTTCATTTAAAATCATTTTTTTTAAATAGAAATTATACGTAATGCGCCAAAAACTACACGTAATGCACAAAACGGCAATTAAAATACATTTTGCTATTGTGAATCCACGAATATTATGTAAATTTTATAACACTTCTTGTCATTCGTCACGTGCTTACATACAAACTATATTTTTATATTTTCCTCGCAAAATGACCTATGGTTAACCATGCACATTCTACTCAACATTGTACGTCAATTTCCCCAAATTTTAAGATGGCTTCATTTTGTATTCAAATATGTTCATCACTGTGAAATAAAATGTCAAATATTCCTTTTAGTAGCATATCTCCTTACATTAAACATAGATTTGATATGTTACTTGGAAATATTAACTCTTAATCGGTTTATATTTTTTTTACCCTATGATAGAAATCATAATTCCCACTACTCAATGATATGGGTTACTGATCATTTAGAAGTGTGTTCTCTATATTGGGGACGTTCATTTGTTGATTTTAGGTACGATCGTGAGTGTACAGAAGATATTATAATTAATGGTCTACATATACCCAAAGGCATGTATATATGTATGCCGATTTATGCAATTCACCATGACCCTGAACTTTACCCTGAACCTGAGAAATTCATTCCTGAAAGGTACGTGGTGTACTTTATGTTCTATTTACATACCAGGGATATATGACATTGCTCAGAGAGAGTAATTCGGAGAAGGGGCACATTTAACATGTAATGGAAATGTGGCGTGGTACGTTACACCACAGTGAAATTCTAATGACAAAGCGTTTCAATGATGTCAAAATAAAAGTAACGTATTTCTCAATGACTGTCGTTCGTAATTTCAAATTTCAAATATATATTTGAGTCATATTATTATCGACGTAGGAACACATATCTGAACACTATCGCCACCGAGAATTTGTAGCAAGCCAGCACGACTCGTAGGAATCTTGCATTATGAAGTGAGATAATAGAAATTTCATTTCAATTCTAAGGTTCACTAAAGAAGAAAAAGCCAAACGTCATTCTTGTGCATGGCTTCCCTTTGGAGCGGGCCCACGAATGTGTATTGGTATGAGATTTGCAATGATGGAGGCTAAGATTGGATTGGTTCGCATTCTGCAAAAATACAGTTTTGAACCGTGTGCTGAAACTGAGGTGCGACTCAATTCTGTTTCGTCTTATATGTTGTGTACATACAAATATATGGTGGCATGCAAGATTCACGCAAGCTGTGAGACCTCGGCCGAGAATTGACGCGTGTCTTTTCTCCCGCATTCGTAGTCATTGTTTACTGCCGATTGAAATCTGCTTCATTATTTGCATATTTTCACCGAAGTTTATGTCTTGTACATTGAAGATAAGCAGAAACATTTGAACGTTAAAATTTTTGGGCAAAAAAATATTCGCTCGACGTTTTCACATTCAATGAACAAGATTTTTGTTTTCGCCATTAAGTATATTATTAGTCTTATATTACGTTATTTATATATTATTGTTTCGCATTTTGTTTTGAATTTCTAATTTGTTTCCTTGCAGATTCCGCCTAAACTTGGTCTTCTCGGCTTTACCACCCCTCCCAACGACATAGTACTTACTGTGTCATTAAGGAAATAATTAACAATACTTTAATCATATGCAATTATTATTATTATTATTATTATTGCATATCAATACATACATTGGACTATGATATATCATGGACTGAAAACGGTGTTCTCGTAGCTCATATCCGAGTATTCGTTCGACTAAAAATCAAATTCTCTAATACGCATGCGTACTGGATGTTTTGGTACGTACAATAATAGTCACTGCACATGCGTATTGTGGTATTAGTGATTTTGAATTTTCATCAAAAATACTGTCATGTGATCTGCAAACATTACATTTTGTTATTATCCATATTGCATCTTTAATATACATGCATTGTGATTATGAGTAATATGGATGCCATTCATCCTAAATGTAATGTGTTGTAATTTGTATTAATGAGTCGGATTCAACGTGATATGTGCTTTCAAAATATACCCGAATACATTGCAAATGAGATGACTGGCTAATTGGTGCTAACGTCGATAAGAGCCATCGGTATTACCCTCAGTAATACTATATTTGAAATATAGCGATTTCAATGGTTGAAATGTTATTTTAAAATATATTTCTTTTTACAATTCATAATGCAAAATGAATTATTCTCATTTTCTGTGAGTCGATTTAATTGGGTGTGATACAACTGATCTCACAAAAGACAGGTCGAGTTCATTGTTACTTCCCTATCGACATTGAAAGATGGTATGCAAACAACACCAAACCCGATCGAAATACACATGCATAATATGTAAAAACGAAAGTATAAGACCAGAAAAACTAATCTGTAGACAAATGATATGTATATACAACACATTTAACGATCAGTCTGAAAATGGTATTTTGGTTGCCATGGTGATAGTATATACAAATGTTGTCTATTAACGTGGGTGATGTTTGGGCCAAAATTGGAAACATTGAAACATTCCCATGTTGGTTTGGAGAGTAAAATTATCCTCCAAAAGAGTAGCCATGACTTTAGAAGTTATTTAAATTTAATGGTTTTGGGTATCAGATGAACAATATGAGGTAACCAGCTAAGGGCCAAAGGCACCATTTACAAAATAGTTCCATTTATAGTCCTGCTTTTATTCTCAGAAAATGTTGACAAAACTAGAAGCAATGTCTAATTGTGTCTGCTCAGTTCAAAATTACGAAAATGTGCACAAATACTATGATGAAAGAAAAGGTGGAAGAACTATTTCAGCAGTAGCATGAAAAAGAAAGTTACTTTAATTTAAAATAATTATTTTGTGTGATATATGTTTGTATTTTTGGAAGAAAGCAGCAATGATCAAACTTATTTTGTAACATTGAAACATCGAGTTTATTTAGTTTACTATTGAGACACATATGTATGTAAGTATGACTTCTTTTTATGAGTTTATCTTATAACATTGTGGTTGAATTCCAACCAAACAATATACATAACAACCATAAATATAATATAAAACATATATTAAAATGAAATATAAATGTTTAATAGATGCTTGCGACTAACATAGAATTTTACTCAATATGGTAAAATATGCACTGTTGAAATATATCCCTAGAAACTCCACACATAATCTATCATAAAATAGTCAATTTTTTGGATACTTGAAACGGCGTAATAACACGTTATGTGTATTACTTTCTAGTCATGCTGTTAAACAAAATTGTTAAAATTTTCAATTTCAACTCACAGTCTTTATTCGACAATCTAGTAGTAATTTCCTTTTATGGTGAAAATGGCGACTGTCACTTGGATGTCAGTAGAATTAATAAAATTAATAAATTTAATAAGAAATAAGAAAGGCACATAACTTTCGATTCAATCATCAGTGTATTCTATTAGACTTCTAAGGCCCTCGCCTTCTTTACTGTTACATTTTAATTTATCAAACCTACCATTCATTTTATTCACTATAATGTCACTCCACGGCACCATGTCAGTCACCATAACGCTCGTGGCATAACAACTTACAATCACGAGTTTTCGCGTCCGTGATTGTACTTCATCAAAGATGAATCCACTGTTATTTAAAAATGATACTGATGCTTTTCTTGCGAGAAGACCAAGATACACATCGTCGTCAAGTGATAATGGCCCGATAACACCTGACATGGTATACAGAATATTTGATATAGATTTTGACATAATCATTCCTCTTCTGTCCAGATATAAAGGAATGTGTTGTATTGGAGAGTCACTGTTTTCTCTCATGACTGACTTCAATTCACCAGCCGCTAAGTCTGGAGAGTCTTGTTGTTTCACAAATGTTAAAATATTTGCTATATTCACGAAGACAGTATCATCAACATACATGACATACGTGAACTCCTGACAATTCAAATTCGTCCAAATCAGGCTTTGTAGAAGTCCTGTTTTATTCACGTATGCTGTTTCTGTGGAATCAAACAGAATCATATCCCCAAACATAGTTTTCTCGTTTTCTAAATATTTCTGTATAATCCCATCTTCATGATTCTGTACTAAAAATAGTACAACCACTTTGACATCAAGGACGATGCCTGATGAAGCCCAAGAGAGTCTTTGCAGTTTTCTCTCATGTGTGTTGAACGGGTGCGAATAGACAACAATGAGAAGATAGGCAGAATTACAGCTTTGTTGGACTGCCGCATTCCACCGCCTTCCTTGTAAAGTGAAACCAGGTACGTTGTTCAGATAAGTATCAGGCTGACTGCCACATGATTCGGAAATATTATGCTTGCTCATAGAGAGTTGTACAGCATATTTGTAGAAGTCCTTAGATAACTTGTGGTGGGATACAAGAGACTTGTGTAAAGAGCAACGATCTCGATATATCCCACTCATATCAAAATGTATGTGAGGGTAGGGCGCCACGCCCATATTAGATATGAGATTTCCGATATAAAGATCTTCCCATCGAAAAGGTCTGGTGTTCATGGAAGCATTGTAAACCTTTTTAACTAAATCACCAGACATCACGTATGACGGACCAGTGCAATAAGGAGGATAGGTATCCAATGGCCAGATGTTGTTTGGAGTGTACCATTTGCTGTATACATTTCTGATAGGCGGTGTGCCTACTAAAGGGTCACCAGAATAGAAATTATGTTTGGGTGCACCAGCAAGGAACGTCACCATGTTGTCAGTATGCAGGAACACATCATCATCTATCTTCAGTACATACACAGCTTGTGGACAGTGTTCAGCAACATAACGTACTAGCATGAGGCTTTTCAACACCAAGTGGTCATAACTCTCAAAGAACCCCTGTTGCAGGATATCATTATAACGGTTGTTTTCCTCGTGAATGGCTAACTGTAGATCAATGTTATTTATTGGAAGTCCTAACAGGAATAGTACAACAGTTCGCCATGGATTGTTATTTTGTTTATCATAGAATTTACCCCACGTGTCGCGAATTGCTGTGCGGGTTGAAAAATTCTGGGGTGATGTTAGTACACCGATTAGAAGAAAAGGTTTCGCGTTTTGACCAGTACATATGTTTGGATGATTGATAAGAAAATTGTAACTATGTGGGTGAAACACATCTCCGACTTCTTGGTTTTCATTGAAATGCGAGACATACTTTATATGAGAGAATTTCGTGTTATCCAATGTGCAGTTTTCAAACTCAGACCACCCCAGGTCCCTCAAGTATTTATACATAAAAAAGGGTACATCAACTCGACTACACCTAGTAACCATAAGATGTACCAAATCGCAGGTAGAGTGCTGACTACCCACGGTATCAAATCCTGGATGTGATGTGGGCACAAAACTTATCTTATGCAATATCAATCCAATATAAACATCTTCAAAGACAAATAGCTGTGTGTGTTTTGCAGAATTGTATGTCCGATTAACCATGTCACCTGACATAATGAAAGCTAAACCACTTGGGTAATAAGGATATGATGTAGATGAGTACAGTGTTTCGCTAACGTACCATTGACTTGTGGGTTCGCGTATTGGTCGCTTGTTACCAAGTATATCACCAACTACTAATCTAGAAGAAGGAGCTGTGTATAAATACCACATAATATTCTGCATATTAAGAAATGCATGATCATCAGTCTTCATTACATACTCCACCATTGGACAGAACTGTATAACCCACTTAAAAGACATCATCAACACTAAAGATTTGTACACAGACGTCTGCTGTATTTTAGGGATGATAATGTCACCGTAGACTGCACTCTCGTCAAGTAATCTTTCATTTACTCTGTTATCTTCAGATAGTCCAACAACAAACAGCCTTAAAATAGTCTTTTCAGGATCCAAATTCAAGTCAGCTCCCCATGTGTTTCTGATTGCGTGGCGATGCAGTTCTGATTCCGCATCAGAGATAGTCAAAAGTAGGAGGAAAATGGGTTCCATTTGGTCTTCGCATAATGTTGCATGCGTTACTTCAAAATCATAAGAGAATTCATTCAGTATTTTAAGCTGCACTGGATGCTTTGATTCTGGAGCATTTTCTACATGCTTCTTGTAATATTGTTCACATTTCATACTTTCTAGATCTTTCCCTAATTGAGCCATGTGGAATGCATCCTTTACAGGCCATATAAATTTATTCCTGTTCCGGCAGATCGTATTGCCCTGCTTGTCATATGTTAAGGCACTTTCACGTTGAGTGAATCCTGGATGGTTTATTGAAACTATTCCAATCTTCTTCAAGAGGTTTTCTAAAAACAAATGTTCTAATTGAATTGGTTGTTCAGACAAAGATGTTGCATATAACTTCTCAACTACGTCCATTGAAAGTAAATACACAGGCGTTTGTAAGTATGAATGAAGGTAGTCGGAATCAACACTGCCTGGTGAGTGGTTGTTTCTCCTTATGTCGCGGTCAGATTCCTTCATTGTCTCAACATTTCCTTCTGCTACCCATGTACTTTCTTTCTGTTCCAAATAGTTTAAGATATTATCATTGACAATCATCACATTGTCACTGATTTTCAACAAAAATCGTGCATTTGGACAGAACTCTGCCGCCCATTTGATAATGCTGATCATTTTTAAGGAATCTTGATACTTATTGCCAAGCCTTATA